CGAATGTTTTCCAGTCTTCTTTAAGTTTAGAACTTTGGAAATAGGTTAGTAACCAGCATGACTTGTTTTAATTTTTACATGTAAACAACGCAAATGAATTTAATCCTTTAAAAAATATCCTTTTAGCACTGTTTAACATATCTTCCCTGAAATGAATCTTCAGAATGGAAGTATCTTAGACTTACCCTTCATAGAGCAGGGCAAGCTGAGGGGCAGAGATGACAGGAATATTTTACAAGGAGGTTATTGAATGGACCAGGAAATGCTGGAGTTAAGATTTGAGTGCAAAAGCCAAACCACACTGGAACTGGTAGATTCTTAGCTATTTGGTTTTAACTTAAAAAGGAACCTAGGTCTTCAGCTTTGACATTAGGAAAAAAAGGAATCTAGAAGTTATTGAATAACGGACCTTCGTTTGAGCAGTAAAGATCAATTAGGTGTTCAGCATCATCGGAGTCGTGAAAACAAAGTAGAAAGCATTTGTTCATTCCTTGTTCAGAGTTGCTCTCTGAATCTCAAATAGATTTAAAGTGTGCGGGAGGATGGGATGTTTTTAATGTGGGTCACCGCTGACGGTTTGCCTCAAACTGTGGAGAGATGATATGATACAAAATAAGGGCTCAATAAATGGGTTGAATGACTGAATTCATAAGCTTTACCTTAAAATTCCGTAATGAAAATGAAGCTTGAACCCTGATAGAGAAGACATTTCAAGAAAATAAGGCAACATTGTTTTATGCAATCAGAGTCATATCACAGAATCTGTTATACAAAGTGATGGTGCCCAACGCGGCTGGAAAATAACCTGAAGAAAAATTTCTAAGAATTACACTGTCCATGCCTGAGGGGAAGAAATCACATATGGTCCAAAAATTAACACCAGTATGAGAACAAAATACTACTTTAAAAATAAACTAACAGGGCCTCCCCTGGTGGCACAGCGGTTGAGCACTGGGCTGCTAAGTTGTCCGCAGCCTCTGCAGCGCCGGTTCGATCCCGGTTAGATCCCCTCCGCCGGGGAGGGTCCACATGGCGCGCAGACCTCTTCTGCTGTGCCCGCTGCTCCCCTCAGCAGTGTATTTCGTCAGTCTGCCTGTTCTGTTCCCTGCTCTGGCTCTGGTGAATTCTCTCGCCCTCCCGCGCTTCTGACTGTACCCAGTGCTTGTATAAATAAATAAATTAATCTTTAAAAAAAATAGATAAACAAACATAAAAAATGAGCTTTAAAAAAAGAAAAAATTTCTGTCACGTGATGGATGATGGACTCCATGAAAAGATGTGTCTCTGGTCACTGAAGAAAACAGGGTGCCACCTAGTGGATTCATTTCATTATTATATATTGCATTAAACACTATCTTAGGGACATTTGGGTTCTTAAAAAACGTAAATTGACTTTCTTTCTCAAAGAGTGTTTTTGTAAACTTTTTATTTTGAACCAACTTTACATTTGCTGAAGACGTGCAAAAAGAGTACAGAGAATTCCAGTACACCTACCCCCCAGCTTCTTCAGCCTTGCATTGGTGGTGTACATTTATCAAGACCAGGAAATTAACATTCATGCAAAACTACTAACTAAAATCTAGACTTTGTTCAGATTTCACCAGTTTTTCCACTTATGTCCCTTTTCTGTTCCATAATCCAACCCAGGATCCTACAGTACTTTTAGTCATCATGTGTCCTTTAATGTCCAATCTGAGACAGTTCCTCAGTTCAAAGAATATTTATTAAAAAATATTTCCCTAGGGATTGTGGCTGTTGTAAAAATACATTTGATAATAATATAGGAGACTTAGAAAATTAAAAGGCAGTCATAAAATAAGAATTTTGATCTAGAAATAATTATCCTGCTTGTATATTTCACTTGTCTTAACCCTCCCTCCCTCCAAGTCTTTTAAAATAGCCCTTTATATTTGCAAAGTGCTTTGTAAGTTTTACTTGTTTTGAAAAGTAGTGAGAGTCAGGAACTCATCTTTAATAGTTTTCTTATTTTACTTAAAAAGAAACTAAGCCATGGGTGAGTTTTTCTTTCTTTTTTCTTTTTTTGGCCTTAACTTGGAACAGCAGTCTCATGACAACTAGTAGGTAGAAAAAAGGGCAACAAATTACATAGCAAGTGAGAAGTAAACCTCATTTTGCCAAAGTTTTTATTATGATAGTAACTGAAAATTTAAAATGAAAGACAGGTCTTCTAAAACTATACTGTCTAATCAATCAAACGTTTCATTCTTTTAAAGTCAGTACTTTAAATGCTTGCAAAGGCTCTGCAAGATATTTGTCACATTTAAATGTATTATATCTCATTCTTTAAAAAGTAGTAATTCAAACTATTCTGAGATTTCTAAAATAACTTAGTTTTTGTATGCTGAAACAAATAGTTCAACTACAAAATATTTTTAAAAATACAATGGACTTTTTAACATCAATTTTTCCCCCCAGTTAATACAATGATTTGAAGAATCATGATTAAATTTAGAAGATATCGTATGCGAAAAATGTGAATAATAAAATAGAGACAGTCTGAGGCGTACTTGATTGGTTTATGGCTTCATTACCCAGAATATTGTTTTTTGCATTGACCACAGTGAACTATAGTACCTGAAAGCAGTGGAAGGGCCTGGAATTCCCAAAGGGGATACAAGGTTTCTCTTTAGGCGCTGCTCCAAACCGACCTTTTTCAAGTCAACGCCAATGTGGTGATGCTACATAAAAAGAAGACTGCTAAACATAGTGGGCTGGCATGGCGAGGGCCTCACTTGTCCATCAGAGACATCCTATTTGGAAAACTCCTCATCGGATTGGTGTTGGCATGAGGAAAGTGTGAATGGGTTCTGGTTCCAAGATGCCAGCAGTCTTCTGCTGTAGTCTACCCTTAAAGTAGCCAAGGTACAGAGGCTGTGGACCTTGGGGAAGTCGGCATGTTTGCTTTCCAGAATGCCTCTCTTGACTGAGAAAGAGAAACATGTTGCTTTTCCATAAGCTATAATTGGGCCTTCTACATTTTTTTCCTCAGTGCATGTTCATTTGTTTTTACCTATGTTAATAGGTAAAGTTGAAAGTTAAACATAAATAGAACTGCCAATTTTTACTGCAACCTAGGGAAGTAGAGAAATGAGTTTTTTCCGGTATTAGGAACCCACCTCTCTTTGCCTTTCTTCGATCTACTGCACAGAGTGGGGAGGGGACTTGAATTTTCCAGTCACCTGGTGCCTTAGTTGCTGACAGGAATACATTAGCACGTAATATTTATTCATATAATTGTGACTGTTAGCTGTTATTACTTTCAGGTAAAATATTTGGAAACTTAACTGAAGCCTTCGGGAGGTAATACCTAAAAGCCAAGGGCTTACCATATTAAGCTTGTGAGCATTCAGGCAAGAGAGCATTCAGCTGCTGCTCAGTGGCTGGCCCTGTCAGCGTCTAATCACATGAGAGACATGCAAAGTAAATCTTAGAAAAACTACTAATTATAAATATGGCCTCTGGAACACAGGAAGCAAGCATTTTTCAGGCCTATGAATGAAAGGAGGCTTTCCAAATGAATCCATTTATGCAGTGTACTTGATCATATTACATTTTGTGAACTGAACTTCAGAGCTAAGTGAATACATTCGCAAGGAAATGGGAGAAATAAAGAATTTGCCTGTTGAGAGAGACTTCTAGAAATTTTTATATCTGTATGTTCATTTGAGACTGGACCCTTGCGGAATAATTTTTACATAAATGATTTTTAAGTTAATGTTTAACAGGTTTGTGATTATTTTTCATGAACCTTCATATTTTATTTTAACAACTTGAGTTTATCATTAAGCAGTTTTAACAACATTTTGGCTCCCTTTACATATTTCCTGAAGTATAAATGGAAACATTTATTGGTTCTTCTTCCTGTAGTTGTTTATAATTAACAATTACTTTGTACTTCTTGGGCGGACCTCTTCAAAATGGTGGATGTTAAGGCCTTTGGAAGAGTCTGTATGCTTAATGACTACTAAATTTTTCTCCATTTTGGAATTGATGAAACACTCACGTAGTCTAACTAAATACCCCATGCTTTTAAAATAGACTGGTCTTGGCTACACTTTGTTTTCATGACTTTTTCCCCCATTATTATTTGAGAATGTTACTGAATGAGGCCTTTGATGGCATGTTAACTTGATTATATTTCTACATATTTTAAAAGTATATTTGATCCTTCCATCATCAGTACTAAGTCAGCCCACTCTTTTAAGCCTACGAATTTCTTTGTCTACATCTTGCACTCAGTTATGGGCTAAGCAAGAAGGTTGAGATTAGTTTGCCACACTAGGTCCTGGGTAAGCTATTGACTCAGTGCTGCGCTCCTCTTATGTGATTATAACAACCACGTACTTAGCAACAGAGTTCCAGTCTGTAAGTAGGTTTCTTCTATCTTAAGATGGGCTTTGGCTAATATGACAGAGGTTTGTGGTATCTGGGAGATGGATGAAAATTTGATTCAAAGGAAAGGGGGAAATGTGGTCTGTCCTGTTTTAGGGTGAACACAGTGTCTAGGAAATTTTCTTTTAAGTCTACATTAACTCATTGCGTTCTTTTAAAAACCGTGGTCCTTTTCACCCTTCTCAGGTGCCACATATTATTAGATTTATTTTATTTATTTATGCATACAAGAACTGGGGTCTAGGTCAGAGGTGCGGTGGGTGAGAAGATTCACTACAGACAGTGGGGAGCAGAACAGGCCAACCTACTGAAATACACTGCTGAGGGGAGCAACGGGCAAGGCAGGAGAGGTCTGCTGCGCCTTGTGGATTAGTTCCTTGGCCAGGGATCGAACTTGTGCCCTCAGCGTGGCTGGTGATAGCATGATAGAGCTGAGACTAACCCCTGCGCCACCAGGGAGGCCCAGGTACTATATATTACAAGACTCGCCTGGCTTAAAGGGAAGCAGCAGTGATTGCTGTTTTTGGAAGAGAAACATAGTATTTTAAAGTTCCATCTATTCATCCTTCCCTGCTTTTTTTCAACAGATGGACAAACTGAGTCCTGAAAGGTTATAATATCCTTGAAGTTACACTAAAACTAAAATAGCACATGGCTCATCTAGGAGGTAAAAATGAGAACATCTTTGACTTGATTGGCGCCCTCTTGAAGAGAAATGCTTTTGCTCAGCTTGGTGAGTATTGACCTTCTGTGATTACACACATCACTTATGATTTGAAAAAAAATGTTAAACTTAACATTGAAAAAATACATATGTTGCTTTTAAAATGGAGGCTTTCAGCAGCATTTAAATCTATCCATATGTTAATGGTTTAGGCCAAATTAACCAGCCAATTTCAGCGATTTTTTGGGAAAGCTTAGGTATATATTCACTCGAAGTTTCTGTTAAATCACAGATTGTAGAAGCTATTTTCAAATGGCCTTTCATTGACTGGTTAAATTAAGGATGCTGCTGAGGAAGAGGTCTTGGGCTCCTGATTTGGGCTAGTCATCCTTCTCTGGTGCTCCCTAGGCTCTGCCTGCCTTTCACCTGCCTCTGAAGCTTTACGTGCCTTGTGTCCTGAGTGCTGCTTTTTTTGTGTCCATCTATCCCCAGGTAGCTGGGGACAGTCTGTTGGAGTGGTGATAAATTATTTCTGCCCATCAGAGTTGGCCAGTATAAATGTGAGTTTGAAGCGGAAAACAGAAAAAAAAAATATATTAGAAACCAAATAACTGGGGACAGAGGGCAATACAATGGATGTTTGGTTTGATATTTCCTTCCTTGCATATTAGTATGAATAACAAAATAGCGAATTTTCAAAGTGTATATTTTGAGTTTTGCAGATTTTTTTTGGTCTAATAATGAGATGATATATTTACTCCAAAAAAAAAAAAAAAGAACACCACACTTTTTTTGAAGTTCCACTCTATCCCAGACTATACTAGGTGCTCTGGATACAGCAGTGAACATATATTACAATAAGTGTTATTTTTATCAAGCCCTAAGATAAAACAAGCAGCTTTATCTGTATGTATTTCATCATGTCTTTTTTCCCCTACTATCAAGATGTTGAAATATAGAGCCCAAGATTAATTATTGTCATTTTTCCATTGACTCAAAGAATTACTCACCTAACAAGTTACTTCTGAGGTTACTTAGCCAGCTCATAAGGATCTGGGGGAAATGATAACCTAAGCCATTCTATTATTAATAATTTTCTAGGAGGGAGATTCCATTAAGCCTTTGTGGTAGCTGCTGCTTTAGATTCTTACATCTGTTGGAGTGGTGATAAGTTATTTCTGCCCATCAGAGTTCGCCAGTATAAATGTGAGTTTGAAGCGGAGAACAGGGAAAAAGATATAAAAAAACCTAAAATTCTGTATCTTTAGCCAAAATAACTACAATCAGTGATTTAAAATGATGAACACAAAACCTAATAAGCAGGTAATTAGATAGATACCTGCTTGGATTCAGTGTGGCCTGACTTCTATCCACTGTGGTGATGATGATCTGACAGTTACTTCTGCTTTTTTGTCTCAAAGTATATGGTCAGTTTATACCATTTCACAGCGTGGCTTAGGAACTTGCGGGGACTTCTCTTATAGTTTTCCCCGTCACCTCATAGGCTCTATTCTTCATCTAGAATTGCATGCCTACTTTTTATTGTTCTGTAGATCATTGGTAGAAAGGAACCTGGCTTCATGTTACTAGAAAATTTTCAGTTCTTGGGCTACAGACTTGAGTCTATTTTATTAAACTCCCCCATGGGCTAATTTGTAATCTGCTGAGCTCACACAATGGCCATGCTCACCTCTAGTCTCAGATTCCGTGATTGTGTTTATCTCTTGAAAGTATAGCGGGAAATCAGAGACACTTTAATGCTTCCGACATGAGAGTGCTGGTTGTGGGAAAAAATCTCTCAAAGGAATAACTTGTCAAATTTTTATAGAAGTTTCCCATTAAAAGTTATATTTATCAGACTGAGATAAAGTTAGAAGCTTTATCTGGGCATGTTTCTTCATGTTCTGTCTTCACTATCAGGCCATTGAAACAGAATCCTACATCCATTCATTTCCTGCTCTGCAGAACTACTCGAGGGCCTTTTGGGCTCCAGAGTTAACTCCCCTACAGCATCTGGGTCATGCTTGGCTTGAGACACTTCACAACGGCTCGTTCATGCCTGTCCAACAAAGAACCCGTGGTTAGACTCATTGCTTCTTTCAATGCCCATCTTTTTGTGTAGTTCTCTGGTATACGAATGTGATTCACTGTCATGTACCTGTTTGAGATTGTGCTTCATGAGTAGGGAAAAAGCACTTTGTAGGTTGCAGACTTAACCAAAATGCCAGGTCACTTAACCACTGAAGCTTACAGGCGGCAACGCCCCAATTGTCCAAGGTGGGATTGCTATGACTGGTGTTGGTGGTGGTGGGTTGTGTGTGTCTTGGGAAGGTTTTTTTTAAGGCACTATATTTACACGCCTTGTATGTCTCCTTAGTAGCTCTATCCATCGCCATGTTACCTATGTAATTGTTTAATGTAATTCTCATTGAAATTGAATTCCATGACGACAGGAACTGTCATCACATTGCCTCACATATATATTAGCTGTCCAGTCAGGAAGTTTTTATATGTTGTGTAAAGAGCACTGTGCTGGCCTTGGAATATGGGCTCCAATCCTGTTTTTCTCCTCAACAGGGTATTCAACCTTAGACCAGTCACTTCCCATATCTAGACCACAGTTTCCTCATATGTGAAATAAGGGCATGGGCAGGGAGATTCATAAGGTTGCTTTTGGCTTTATGAGTCTCAGTTTGTGTCTGACTAAATGGAGGAAGAATTGCCGCCAGTCTGTTGGATGGCACAACTTTGTTTCCAAACCCAGTCTGACTCCATTGAAGTGCCCTGCCTTAGGCTGGGAATGACTGGCCCGTTGCCTTTGAAAAGAGACCATGCCAGAACCTGAGTTACCTCCTTTGGGACAACCGAGGGCAGTGTTTTCCAAACTTTTTCTGTAGCAGCTGAATTCTCTTCAAAATAATAAAATAATTAAACAGACTTCTCCTTATGTGTGGGCAGAAATCATGTCAGCACTTCATCTGTGCCTGTGTATTTGCTGCATGTAAGATGGAAGGACCCCAGAAAGTGGTTCAGGCAGTTGTTCTGGTTGGAGAGCGGGGTGAAGACCCTGTGGCCTTCCCTGGCCAGCTTGACACTTAGATCTGACCCTACCTCCCTCACCCACCACCCAGCCTTGGTCTCATTTCCAGCTGCACAGTCACCAGCTCATTTCACAGAACATTTCAAATCCTCTGCCCTGACTAGGTAATAGGGATTTGGATGACTATAGTAACTATCATGGCGTGTAACAGGCTTATCTCAGAAGATAGGAGCCTGAAGTGTACCCCATCAGGACTCTCCCCTGAGCCCCTGTGAACCTCCACTTCCCTGCTCCCACTACCACTATCTGATTACTACCAAGAACATTGGAAACGTCTCTGTGATAATTTGGAAGATTCTTGATCAAATTCTTTTCTAATCCAGAGGGAAGCAAACTTGAGAGTTCATAAGAATTTCTTAGAACAAAGCACAGGCTACCAAAGCTCGTCTCAGGTGAAATTAATAACCTGGACAGTCGTAATTCAGATGGTCTTGCTAAATTATAACAAACACATAAGGAGAAGTAACACCAATTTTAGACAATCTCCTTCAGAAGAAGGAAGACTTTTGAACTTATTTTATGAGACCAGCATTTCTCTGATACCAAAGATGGTAAAAAACGGAACAAGGACAAACCCACAGACCAATCACTCGCATGAACATGCCAGTGTATTGTCAAATTTATGTGTGTAGAGTTGCTACTAATAGTCTCTTCTTTAATCCTTTTACTGTCTATGGGATCTACAGTGATATCCTTTTTTCATTCCTAATATTAGTAAGTTATCTTCTCCCTGCTTTTCCCTCTTGGTCCTGCTGTAGAGACCTAGCGATTTTATTGATATTTTCAAAGAACCAACTTTTGATATCGTTAATTTTTTTTTGTTCCTTTTTGCCTTCAAATTCATTTATTTCTGCTCTTTGTTATTTTCTTCTTTCTTTTTATGTATTTTGTTCTTCATTTTCTAGTTTCTGCAGGTGGAAACTTAGACGTGCTTAGACCTTTCCTTTTTTGAATGTAAAAATTTAATATCATAAATTGCATCACACATTTTGTTATGTTGTAATTTCATTTTGTAAGTTCAAAAATTTTTTTCACTTGAAACTTTCTCTTTCACCCATACATTATTTAGTAGTCTTGTGTAATTTCCAAATATTTGGAAATTTTCCCTTTTGTTGCTAATTTCTAGTCTAGTCTAATTTCATTATGATCAAAAGACATACCTTATTTGTATTACTTCCATTCTTCTAAGTTTGTTCAAGTTTTATATTTTAGGATGTGATTCATCTTGGTGAATGTTTTATGTGTACTTTAAAAGAAGGCATATTCTGCTTTTGTTGCTTTGAATGTTTTATAAATAGTAAATTCAATTGTTTGGTGGTATTTTGGTGTATGCTTCCAACTGTAATTTTATATTTACCTGCTTCTCCTTTGAGTTCTGTTTTTGCCTCTTGTACTTTCAATGTCTATCCCTGGACACAGATACTTTTAGGATTATCATGTCTTCTTGGCAAATTGACCCTTTCAACATATGTAATGTCCTTTTTTATCCCTGGCAACTGTTTTTGTTTTCAAGTCTGCTTTGTCTGATATAAATATCGCTATTTCAGCTTTCTTTTGAACAGTGTTTGCATGGTATACTTTTTCCATCCTTTTAGTTTTAACTTACCAATTGATATTATAATTCAAGTGAGTTTTTGTTAGTATATAGTTGATTGATATATTTTTTATCCTCATAGTCACTGTCCTTTAATTCATATCTCTAGACCATTTGAGTTTAATGTAATTACTGATGTCCTTGAATTTATGCCTACTGTTCCGTTGCTTTCTGTTTATTCCCTCTATTTTCATTCCCGATTTCGATATTTTGCCTTTGGAGTTATTTGGGTATTCCTTAGTGTTTTGTTTTAATGGATCTCTTTGTATATTTTCAGTGTCTGCTTTAGGGATTATAATAAACATACTTAACATTTAATTTAGCATCAACATTTTACCATTTTATTTATTAATATTTTATACATTTATTTTATAC